TCGCAGGACAAATATATGTCCACAAAAATATCTGTAGACATTGCTACGCTTTGCGTAGGTCTCTACGCCACGCAATGCTACACAATGCTACGCGATGCTACGTAACGCTACGCATGACTACGCGTTGTAACTAGACGCGATTAAATATTTCGTCACCCTTTAACTTCGGTTAGTCATTGAAGTCTATCTTGTCAAGACTTATATGACAGTAATCTTGTAAAGTACGATGACGTGTTTGTAATTTCACCATATTGCTTATTACACAGAACAACTCATAATATAAAATTACAAATTATTATGTGTATATTTGATATCGGTCCGTATCGGAGCTCTTAAAAAGAACAGAACAGTTCTTGCAGTTGTAAGCAATCCAAAAATAAATTGCACGTAACATTACACTAAAAATAATGCTCGCTAATTGTACATGATGCTTAACGATAACACATGAGTAACAAGCTTTTAAAAATCGTTTATTGCAAGTATTCATCGCGGCAGTTGTTCTTAATTGAAACATTGCAGCTAACCCGTTTTAGAAAGTTTTGGCTGTATGCCAACAGCTGTTCAGTATCAACTTTTTACCTACCCGGATTTTTAGTTCACCTTTAAAGGTCAAGGTTACAAATATAGGTGATAATCTACTAGTTAAGTTCGCGTGTCTTACCGCATTAGTTAACATGCATTAACATGGAAAGTCCAATTACTCACAGTGCTACATTTATTTATTATTGCTCTTTATTATCGGTCAATCTTTAGAATAAACTTAATATTATAATTTATTTATACATACATATGTCATGCATTGCTATGACGGAAGGCAATTTATTATAAATCTATTTTACATTATCTTCGACCATGTGATTGTCAAGATAATCATCACGGTTCATTGAATAACAATAGACACTTGGACAAGCAGTTACAAGAAAAACACTCAACGCCTAGATAATAATTATCTATAATAAAACTTCCCTGTACTATGGACAATTTAAATAATAGAATGATGTATATCTGTCTAGTGTCCGATAATTGAGATATCCATATATATATATTAATATAATTTTATCTAGACCAGCCAGACAGGCGCTAGGGTTTAATGAAATGCGCATAAAGTTTAACTACCAATGTAGCGTACATTCTCCAGACGACACGATACTTTCACAATGGCGCATAGTGTAAAAAGATTTCATTACTACAGTTTATACAGTCGTAAAATGCGGGATATGATCGTCTTATAGATGGGAAGACACGCGCGTTTCCCGGTCTAAGGCGAGATAGTAAAGCTACGCGGCGCTAACTCTGGCTGTAATCCAACAGGTTTATATTAATGGTTGATTAATAGCGTGCGTGTCGGGACGATCCATCATGTCGGTCGTGTGTTCCTGCCGAACTACCGAAGCTCCCTGAACATGTTTCGTAATACGTTACGATTCCAATTGTGATTCAATCTCAACTTAGAGCAATGACCACCGGATGACGACATCTATAAAATTCTACAAGACCACGATGCGAATGCTTACTCTGTACTGAGTGGTATGCGAAGCCGGTAGAGTAAATATTTTGTTCGCGTACAAAGAATTCTGCATACCAGACATGTCATTCGAGTGAGCTGGATGTTTACTCCCCTTATCTCTTTAGTTAGGCAGGAATTAGGCGAAAACAAACTACTAAGCAGCATCGCAGATAAACAGTGTTAGTAAAACAGTGCTCAACCTTGACCGACTACACTACCTGGATCATAAAATTCGCAGACCGTAAATTTTCAGGATGTTTACTTCAAATATTATGTGTTCGCAAAAAACTAAATTTAGTGCTCTTAGTTATGGCATCCATTCATTTTTGTTCGGTTGAATATAAACAACTCAAAATACTGCAGAACAATACAATTTGCGATAAGGTTAAGTGGTCGAAGTGTTTGATTAAATTTATCTATATACACAGTGATCCGTCATAGAATGGCTACTTGTAGGTAAAAAGAAGTCATCAAAGTCTTGACTGTAAAGTGCGAAGAACTGTACACTCAATGTAAATGTAAATAATGGTTAATGACCAGTTGGCCTTGGCGATTACATGTAACGAATACTTCTTAGTGTACTAAAGCCATAAAACAGCATAATACATTGCCACTCTTGGGTTTATCGTCAATCTCCTTATAGAGATGACGTCACAACGCATCTCTGAAAGAATTCGCATCCTGCCTCCGGACTACGTCTACAGTCGTCGTCTGTTTAACGTCTAGACGTACGTTTTAAGTTCTCAGTAGAATTACAAAAATGCGAACATCAAACAGAGCACACCCACCCAGTTTTAACACATTCCATTCACATGCATCTTTAATAATGAATTTAATTTATATTACATCTTATCTTTAGATTCCAGTTCGTAATATTATAATCGCTCAAATGTAAATAAGTACCTACCGAAGCGCTTAAAGAGACGCTTGAGAAAACGATGAGGAAATATTCACTCACATAAATATTATTTAATGTTTAGCAAATCCTTGAAGGATGAGCATGAACAATCGTACGTTCAAAAGTCTTAATGTGACTCACGCGTTACGCGCAAATATCGGCTTAAATTCAATTCATTCAGTTAATGAACCGTAGTAATCGTGGTCATCTGTGAAAGATGTCTGTCATTATAATACGACTACTGTTTATTTATGTGGGTGCACTCACATTATCGACTGCTATGACGCCTTTCCCGAAATCGTCATCGGTCACGTTTATTTCGGGAACCACAAATACAGCCGTGGGTATGGAGCTGGTACATACGTAGTGTACATACGCTGCATCCACGCGTGACCGATGCACCTCGCCTCAATCAAAACTATAATTGCTGCACACGGTTCCAACTACACGCATAAAATCATTAAATACTTGATTGTACATCTCCATGATATTAGTCAGAGTACATAGAATTGTTAGTTCTTACGTAATCGTAATCATTTATTCAATTTCCGGAAGAGTCGAAGAAAATTTTATGACACATGATTTCATTTTCTCCAGACATGATTTCAAGTCTCAAATGCAGGCACTTTACGGGCAGGAGACTATAAAATTTACAGAATTTATAACCAAGACGTTGTCATTATAACGAATATATATAATATTATTAATCCATTTCCAATAGTAAAACTTCAAACACATTTAATGACAATCATGTTAACGATAGCTGTTTAATAATATGGGTTTTTGTAAGTCAAACAACAATAACAACGAAAATTATTATCATAAAGCAAAGCTGTCAAACCGTACCCAAACAAGACACCTTAGTTAATGAAGTATTTATCGGTCATACATTATTCATAACAATACTCAAACCGAAATGATCCCGAAAAAAAAACATAACGTGTTGATTCAAGGGCACTACATTCTTTTTTCAAGCAAATATGGCGCGAAACTGATTTTTTAATTTTATTTTTTTATCTCGGGTCACAGATTACACTTTACACGAAGTAATTACACGTATTTGAGTTTTTAAAATGAAATTTAAATTCAGAATCGTGTTCGTGACTTTATCAGCGATGTCGCAAGTGCACGCTAAAGTTTACTTCAGCGTAGTACCGGACCTTACCTTACATAAGGGTGACTAAGTTAAACCGGGTCACATAATAAGTCACAATTTTAATTTTATCTTTGAAATCCCGATTAAACACCTTTAACTTTAAAAATATTTTGTAAAATTCCTTGGGTTTGATTCAACCCTATACTAAAACTGACTACGATGAGATTAACTATTATTATTTGACTGCACGATTGACGCGGTGGCTGGGCAACTGGCTGCCGCGCAACGTGTCGCGGGTTCGATTCCCGCACGGAACAACTCTTTGTGTGATCCACAGATTGTTGTTCTGGGTCTGGGTATCATGTGTATGTGAACTTGTATGTTTGTAAACGCACCCACGACACAGGAGAAAATCCTATTGTGGGACGAAAAAAACAAAAAAAAAACTATGTAATTGCCTAAACGTATTAATCCTTTTCTGAATAACAGACAAGACTTTATGGAGTGGGAAGATATATTGTACGTCGTCATATATGCAAATAACATAAGTAAACACTACCTATTGCTCTATTCAACGAATTGCGATGTTAGTTGTACTTTTATGCAGGTATCTAACACTCATGTCATATCAAATATGAGTACATCTTGATGAGTACACTTATGTTCAAACGAAGGATGAGGTAAGGATACCTATATTGCGAAATAATTTACATTATATTTTCATTAGGTAGTTAAAACAGTTTTGTTATTTGACTTCGGCTTGTAATGCGCTCTGTTCATACTCAAATGTCCGAAGTGTTTGCAGATTCATTATTTGCTGCTAAAAGTTTCGAGGTCTCGTGTCTAATTTGTATAATCGTTTGCAGTGTTCTGGCGCCTAATAAAAAATTACTCAAAAAATCTCATCAGGCATTTTAGTCACTCTAAAATCTTTTAATGGAAAACGAATTTTCAATTTTGACTTTTAACAAATTAACCGATGTTACATAATAATATTATGATTAATATTGTTTTAGCTTTTTCCCATTACCCAGTTATAAGTGATTTTGTTGGTTTGTAAAAGTAATGTTCTTTATTATAATTTAACTTTTGTTTAGAAGCTCCGAGTTTCATTGCTTTGAAGTTGTTATGATTACGACACCCGAAACAAGCTGACGTTTTATTACAATATATTTTTTAGTATAATTCCCTTGACGGTTTCATTTCAGTCTTTTTCCTTTACAAGTTATCACCGTGTACTTTTTATTATTACGGTAGGGAGATAACATGTATTGTATATTTATGTTTATCTACTATTGTCTCTCGTTAACTTGTAATCAGCTTAAGTTTATATTTTATATCGTTTGGATTTCCCACGTAAATAAGATTGTGTTTACTTTTTGTATATAAAAATAAAAAGCGATACAAAAAATCTTAAGCCCTCCCTCAACAAACACGCTTGTGCAACGACACCCCGCAGAAATGAGACCACCAGATGTCTATCTATCAGTTTCAAGAGATCAATTTGAATATTTATTCATGCAGTTTCGATCTAAGCTTACGATTATAAAATCAATTCCACAAACACTAGAGAAAAGCATTTCTGTTTTATTACCGTATCCATTAGTTTTGTTGTAAATAACGGATAATATTGGGTCAGGTCGATAAAAGCAGATGTATATTATGAGTATGCACGTAGTCGTGCAACACGGATCGTGCACCCAACTCCGGCGCCGCTGTCGCCTAAATACCGCGCGTTTCCGATTGCGAAGCGAAACTAATTCAGTTTCACACTCCTTGTCAACACGGCTAGTGAAGATAGTTTTCATGAATAGTTTCTCGTCGACACGCATTTTCATATGTAATTTAGTTATGACCACTGGGTATTCTATTCAAACTTACTTTTTGGTCTTTAATTTTGGTTTCGGTTGTCTTAGTTTAAAAATTTCAGCAAAGAAAAAAATAATCTTTTTTATTTTTGATGTCCATATAGAATGAATTGTACAATTCTAAATATCATAATAATAATTCCTTAACTTTTTACATTGGAATTAATCTAATATTTTCTCACGCAACTCAACAGCATAAAGATTATAATCCATCTCGTCAGCTTATTTGTCTATAATTCCTCATATCCTGCAGTCTAAGGGTTTTAATCTGTCCAGTGAGTAGACCACCCGGTAAATATGACTTGTATCGTTACTATCAGATGATCTGAATATAAGGGAAGTGTCAGAGACGGTCTGGAGTGAGCTTAAGCTAGGCATCTTGTATTACCGTTACCGCGACGAGGCGCCAACCACCGGCCGCGGCGGGCGTACACTTCGTACGACCATATCACAATATTATAAATTGAATACTTATCGCCATTCGAACAGCATACATGCTGCTTACCTGTGTTTATGATCAACAAGTTTCGCCCTACCGGACTTTTAAGATGGTATTACAACTGAACTGGATTTCTTACTTTGTATAAATATTTCTGACAAAACTAACATAGTAGAACTTAGATCAACGTGCAACTTCGAAGTATTGACAAACCAAATCTTACTGAGAGACTTACTGGCTTTAGCTAGGCTTAAGGTTAATAAAGGAATAAGAAATCGGGAAATATGAAGTGTCTAGCGTGCATTTACTGGCGCCTCACGTCCAGGACTTCATATAAATCGTCGGCTTACGTGGGCGGGGACAATTGTCGGTCTCAACTGATAAACGCTAGAGATGACCCGCGCCCTCAAGGGAAACGCTATCGTGAGAAAGTGGCTCACATAAAAGAAATCCGAAAGTTATAAAAATATTCATCGAACTAGGAAAATGACACGCGATACGTGAGTCGTGCAGTTATACGAACATCGGTGAAATGTGACGGCATTTACTCGCATTCGCAATTATAATTTGCTGAAATAGCGCATGTCCCAGTTAGCATCACGTAATAGACTAATGAACACTCTTTAGTTGGTGTCTGTAAATTTAAAATTATGACGCAATCGCTTAATTTTTCAATCATTTTGCGTGATTGAAATGGATAACCGATGTCTAAGATATGATTGTATTTGTATAAACTTTCCTTCATTTGAATCGGGATTAGCTCTGTCTGCGTACAAAACTTCAATCATTTTCACATTTGCTTTGGCTTTCACTGAGTCGCAATCTTTCACATTACGTAACTCTTCCTGGGTTTCTTCTGTCATTAATCTTATGCTGTCCTTACTAAACCACTTGTATACCTCTATTGTATTGTTATGGGTTCTGAGGTGCATGCATATTATTAGGTGTTTGTATAGCTAGTATACTGTTGAAAAGCTAGCTCATAACCGCTTTTGTCACCTGCACTCAATAGATGGGCTCATTGTTTTCATTCCGACGCAGTGTAACGCGAGCTTACAGCTCACTTGCGGTCGCCGCGACCTACGCGCGCGCTCGCTGCACACTATTCACATTCCCTACTCTATCCAATAATTCCTAAATCGAGTTTAGATATTGACATTACAAACATTATCAATTGACCTTTATAGTTTTAAGCACCAATTCTCATAGTGGGTTTATGTTCGTGAACTCGATCAGTAAGAGAAACGGCTGGCGGCATTTTAAATTAAGATAACAATTTTATTGGCTTCTAATTCAATTCGTGGCGTATTTTTCTTATCTTTCCACTTAAGCGTCTTAGTAGCTTTCACGTTAGTTGCAACATTGCATAGACAAGAATCGGGTGGTTCTCAATCACGAGTCGTGTTTGAACTTGGCCCGTGTGCTCCGCGACACTGGGTCAACGAGGCAGAGCTGGATATCGCGGCGCATAACCATAACTACTTACATATGTTCAATCCAACGCCAGCGGCAGCGGGACAATTAATATAGTGCACCGTGCAATAAACGCAGGCGCAACGGCGGCGTGGGTACAATACGTAGGTACATATTATACGCGTTTGACCTTGTCATATTGTCCATTACAAGATTATTTATAGACAGGAATTTATATAACTGCTACTTGATTAAAATTATTAAGTGCAATTGAAGAAAAACAATTTAGTTTACATTTGCTACTCAAGCGTCGCTACCGCTACGATTAGAGTTGATCGCGTTAACTACTTCAATCACTTAACCATGGTCTTTGAGCCCATCAAATAAGACCTTTTCGATTGTTAGTATGGAGTTATACAAGTGCATGTACTTAGCAAAACTATTGAATTCACATGAAACATTAAATAGAAATAAAATTAGTCATAGGTAACTATATATTATATGAACATAAAAAGACTAAAATAAGAATGATAAATAGAATAATAATAGCGCTGTGAATATACCTAGTTTAATTAATTAACGATATGTCAGTATGATTTAATCCCAATTAATCATATCTTGTCCGACCATGAATAATGTTGAACAAATGGTCTGTGAATTACTGGTTTTCTTGACTAATTATGCGCAAAGCCATCCTTAAATAAATAATGCTATGAGAATAAAATATGATAAGTGCCATCATAGTACTAGTCGTAGAGAGTTAGTTGTATTACGTTACATCCTGAAGCGGGGCTCATGATTAACATCTTCCGTGAGCAGGGTCAATGTGCAGGGGTTACGGCCTGACAGGCCCTGTGACTAGACCTTCTGGAAATTTCTAATAAAACATGATTTGTGGCAATGGATTATGAACGCTGCTCCATTGCGGTACTCATAAAATGCGATATGAATTTATCGAAACATGTAACAGGGCAATAAGTATTATATTGTTTGCAGAGGCGTACAAATATATGAGCGGTCCTTACTTCAGAATAAGGGTCACGATAGTAGTCAAAATACAAACAAAACAGTGAACATGCTACGTTACAAAACAAAGTACGATGATCTGTACGCCTAGTCAACCAATTCACTCCAAATGGCCATTATGCAATAAAATCATTTGAATTAATCAATAGAGCAGAGTGGGTCCTGCCACTACAATCGACTAACGACACACTTCCTTCAGTTCTGCGAGTACTACATCACCCTGAGTTCTGCACCCGACCCGCTTGTTGTTGCAATTGAGCGCTAAACTTAATACTGATATAAATAGAACTCCGGTTTCTCACGACATGACACGTTATAAATTATGCTAATATAGGAACCAATGTCAATATTACGTTTTTGATGCTTACTGGACGCTCCATATGGGTATTGACGACGTTCATTCAGCCAATGATGCTGTTTAGAACTTCAATCTATAACAATAAAGTTAATGACGATCTCATACACTTACCTTTGATTACATCATGTTACAAAAATGAGATAACACAACATTCTTGTGAATGAATTTTTGATAAGCTGCGATATGATACGAATACGTCATAAAAATTTTGCAAAGCGGTATTTTTGTATCATATTTTTTGTGGCGTAGATCATTAATATTGTTATTAACAACATTACTATAAAAAGCAGTTTCGGATGATGTGTTATTCTCAATAACAAGAATATTATAATTAAGATGTGGGTAAATATTAAGGCGAATATTGATAACGTAGTGTGGCATTCAGATGTATGCATAATAGTATGTAACAGTTTCTAAGAATAGGTATCACCTGTTTGTATAAAGTAGTGTTTCTAAACATGTGTGTAGAGCTGTTAACCTGTGCTCTGTAGGTAGTCGAGGACGCTAACCAAACGCTAACGATGTTTACAAAATTGATCACGTACCAACATTCAGTAACTCTACAAACGCCTAGCAACGTTGATAAAGTTACTTTTTGTTTAGATTGATTTATAATTGTAATGGGAATTACCGCTCTACGTGACGTCACATTTTTCTAAATATGTAAACAAACCTTGAAACATTTGACAACAAACAGTTGACATAAATTAGGCATGTATCTCGTGACATTAACTTCTGTTTTATATTTTGAATCGTAAATGTAATTTATATTTAAATAATAATCGTGATTTTAGACTTATAATATTGCGACTAGGCGCTGTAAGTTCTAGCAGTTTTCTAAACAGTCAGTAACATAAAAGCGATCCCCAAGTGGACTGTCAAAAAATGGAATTATAAGAAATCTCCTTTAAAGAAAGAGGCTCTTATTCAGCATTCGGCATACTTAAGATAATGATAATGATAATTATAATTTTACGAGAGCTTGCAAACTTCAAATGGTGCCAACTGCCAACTCTCAAATGCACATACAAACTATTGTGTAATTAGGAATGGAATGTTTGTTTGTGCCGCATATTTTAAAAGTAAACATAACTTTCAAATGTGCAACGACTGTATGAAATACGAAACATTGGCCAACTAATTAATATAACTCAATTTGTATGAACGTAATAACGAACGTAAGCCTGTACATCGATAGGGCAGAGTGGAATTTTCGTTACTAATCTACATATTTTCATTTTTTAACTACAGAATGCCCTTAATATATAATTTATTTATAAATCGGATTATAGCAAAGAAAAAGACATAAGAAATAAAATGATTGAAATCCTAAAGAGATTTCGTTAAATTTGCCACATTGTCACCGTGTAAACAAGACAATTTGTGAACAGACGTAATAACGAGCCCTATAAATATTTTATGTCGCTCAATCTAAAGTTCATAATTGCATCATTACACATGCAACAATTATCTGCAGGTATAATTAGGCGCTCAAAGAGCATTTGATTTAAACAACACTATTATAAATGTTATTGCTATAATGAAACGTAAAATCAGCAAGACACGTTTGACCTAGTATTCTTGCATCTTGCACCTTGAGACGAACGTAGGCTGCAATACAATACAACACATATTTCCTTGAAGAAAGCAAAAACAATTCAGCAATAGTAAATATGTAAACAAATGCACCTGCACTGTTGAGTTTTCTATTCAGCTGATCAGGTCAACTCATCC